ATGCATTGCGTGACTTAATGTTTGAAACAGCAATGCCTGTTTGCATTCGCTGCTGGCTCCTCTGGACATTGCTCCTCTCACTCTTTCCTCCTGTAGTTTCGGGGATCATTTTGAGTGGAACAAAGTCACCTCCTGCATCCACAACATCTTAAGCGGGCAGAGGTGGATCGAGCACTATGGAGAGATTGTCATCAAGAACCTGAATGACGATTCCTGCCACTGCAAAGTGAACTTTATAAAGGTAAGCTGGTGGCCCTGGGAGCTCTGGCCCTGGAAAGCCCTTGCCGAGCTGGGCCTCAGGGCACAGGGCGTCTTGGGGAACTTGCCACCTTTGCTTCTGTGCCAGAAGACAAGCAATGCCAGGGGCTCCCTGGTCCCAGCCCCACTTTCACCTGGACCAGGGCATGGCCCTTCCCAGCCTCTTTCCTTCCTTCCTTCCTCCCCTCTGGTCTGTCCTCAGTGCCGCAGCCAGAGGGACCCTTTTAAAACATGTCATCGTGCTACAGTATGGATTGGAGACACAATGCTGAGTGAGGACAGAGACTGATTCACGTGAGGTACCCAGAGCAGTCAGAGCCACAGAGACAGGAAGCAGAATGGTGGTGGCCAAGGGCTGGGGGACAGGGATGGGGAGTTGTTGTTTAATGGACACAGAGTTTCAGTTTGTGAAGGTGAGAAATCTCTGGAAAGATAAAAGACGATGATTGCACAAGTACATTATGAATGTACTTAATGCCACTGAATTGTGCACTTATAAATGGTTAAAATGGTAAATTTTGTTCTGTATGTTTTACCACAATTAAAAAAAAAAAAGTTGTGTCATATTTGACCCAATCCTCTGACAGCGTCCAGCTTTCTCAGAGGAGAAGCTCATCCTTACAGTGGCCACAGGACCCTGCAGACCCTGCACTCCCCGCCCCACCCTTCAAGGTCACCTACGGGCGCACACACACCTCTCCAACCTCAGCTCCCGCCAGCCCCTCGCCCCGTCCTTCCTCTCTGTCCTCTGACCACACTGGCCTTCGTTCTCTCTTCATCTGCTCTGGTTGGACCCCTCTCCCCAGATCCTTCCATGGCCTGCCCTGTCTTGTTAGTCCCTCCCTGTCATATCCCAATCTCTTCTAAGTTTCTGTTATTGTCTGTAGTTAGCTTGCTCCCTGTTGGTTTACTTGTTTGTTTTCTGTTCCCCACACCTTCCTCGCCATTCCTGGCTCCAGAAAAGCAAAAGCTGCTCTGTCTCTCTGCGGCTGTAGCCTGTAGCCTGGAAAGGCTCCTGGCACCCAGCAGAGGCTCATGGCAGGATAAGAGAACAGACTGGCCTGAGGCAGAAAGCACGGGAGAGTCTGCCTACCTTTCCACCTGCCTTAATTGGAGCCCTGCTCCCACCTTTCTTCCTCCTTAGATTCCTTCTTGCTGTTAAAAATCTCAAGTACTGCCTTAGCCAGCCGGTTTGGCTCGGCGGTTAGAGCGTTGGCCAATGGACTGAAGGGTCCCGGGTTTGATTCCAGCCAAGGGCATGCACCTCTGTTGCAGGCTTGGTCCTGGCCCTGGTCGGGGCTCAGGCGGGAAGCAACCAATCGATGTGTCTCTTTCACGTCGATCTTTCTCTCTCTCCCACTCTGAAAAGCAGAGTATCCTCTGGTGAGGACTTAAAAAACACACAAAAAATCTCAAGCACTTAAAATGGCCTCAGAGTGTTACTCACCTCAGAAAATATTTGCATTGAATTAAGATCAAAATTCTAAGCCAAGATACTAGGTTCTAATTGTGGAACTTCATGGGGCACCTCTCTCCACCACCTATAGCTGGCGGGGGACATTTTGGAGAGGTGGAGTGGGGCCTTTCTTATACCCTGTAAGTCAGACTTAGTTGTAGTCAGACATCAGGCTAGCAGTGATTTGGCATAAAATAAAAATGACCCTGCCGTGGAAGCTTGACGCGAGCTCTTTGCAAAGAAGCAAAAGGCAGCCTGGAGCGGGAACCTATGCGCCCTGCTCCAGGTGAGCCACCTGTTCTCAGCACTTTCCCCAGGGAAATGCACTAGACTCCCATGGCTACCGTCCACCCGGTATTTGTCCACTTAGGAGCAGAGAGTAGATTTTTGTAGCCATGAGAGATGAAAGGGGTTTGAACACTGGGCGTGCCTCTGGTGTTGAAGGAGAACCTGAAAGCAGGTGCAGACATACCTGTGGGCAGGACCACCTCCCTCTGGCGCCTCCCATCCTGTTGCCAGCATTGGATTTGTTGGCAAATATCTGTAAGAAAAAATTCTGACTCCTGCTTCGGAATAAACTGAAGAGCCTGGACAGTGCTTATATATTTTTTTCCTAATTTTTACATCCTGTGAGGACTCCCTTTTAAATCTCTGATTCAGGCGGAGATGCTGCTGTGCCTGCCCTTCCTCCCATATTTACCACAGACTTGGAATATGGCCTGGAAATGCCACTCAACTGTTTTGGTTTCCAAATATAGATTCTGTTTTGGCTGAAAATAGTACTAGGATTTTTGATTTGTGGAGTGACGCCTTCCCAGTTTTTGGTAGAGATTTCTTACCGTGCAGCCAGGTAACTGGGAGATTTGAGAATATCCACTGTAGGGAGTTGGAGCTCCCTCTGCTGGGCGCGGTGCGGCACTGAACAAGCCCTCCCGGCTGAGCCGAGCTCTCGGACCAGGACCAACCACGATGCGAATAGGGGTTCCGGAAGGTTCCTGGGGTTGGATGAACTGATTTAGATTGCGGGGGGGCCAGGGGGGCGGGGGATGATAGAAGAAACTGAAAAGTTGTTGGGTTTACAAAGCAGCCACGTGTAATGGTTTGCAAAAGACTGTCATGTTCCTTTAGAGAAAAAAGTGACATGAGTTATATTTCTTTTATTTATTTTCTTTTTTTATTTGGAGTTATATTTCTTTTAAATTGCAATAGTCAGAGCCACAGTGAGAGCCAGGGAGCAGCGGTTCCAGAGGGAGGGGGCTTACGGGCCAACCGTGCTATTTGGCAGAAGAACTGAGCTTTTCCTTCTTACTCTGCATGTAGAAAAGGTAGAAAAAATATATATGTACCTTACACATACACAAGTGTACCAGATGTTGGCTCGCTGAGATGCAAGCTGTAATAAATGGGTTAGCTTTTAATTTTTATTAAATAATTAAAAGTGTGATTTAAAAAAAAGAAATAGAATCCAGAACTGGCAAACGATATGCAATGTAGGATTATCCTTCTGGTTCTTTCTGTTTCCTTTTAAAAAACAAAACACAAACTTCTCAATATCTATAATACGTTGGCCCCAAAACACTAAACGGACCCCTCTTGTTTGAATCCCAGGCGAAGTACTGGAGCACCAACTCGCGCGAGATCGAAGGCACGGTGTTTGACCGGCGTGGGAACCCCGTGCACCGGCTCTTCGGGAAATGGCACGAGAGCATCTACTGCGGCGGCGCCGCCTCCTCCGCCTGCGTCTGGAGGGCCA